GACTAACATGTTGGAAGTATTGGTAATGTTTTTTATCCCAATGTTCGACTCTTTTTCCTTTGGCCCTAATAATCTATTAGGGCTCACCATCTAAGGACAAGTCTTATGATGCTACCAATCACATTGCCTTATTTTTTATTTTATTTTTTTATTTTTATCCTCACATGAGGACATTTCTCCATTTTTTTGTTCAGATAGAGTGGGAGGGAAAGAGAGGAAGAGAGAGAGAGAAAAAGAAACATTGACGTGAAAGGGACACATCGAGTGGTTGCCACCCACACGACCCATCCAGGGCCGGGGACAAACTGCAACTGAGGTATGTGCCCTCAGCGGGAACTGAACCCGGTCTCTCTGGGCCACAGGCTGATGCTCTAACCGCTGAGCCAAACCGGCCAGGGCTATTTTTTAATTGCACAATAGCCACAGTGTTGAATTCTTCTATACCTGGGTCCTACTGGTAAAGATGATCCTGAGGTTTAGGTAAATTTTTGGATTATCTGACTTCCCCCACTTTGGCAGACAAGTCTTTGACCTAGAAAGCAGGTTTCTGGCTTGCTACTCTTCCCTCCTGTTTCTATTATTCCAAGGTTATGGATTATTTTACAGTAGACATAACCCTTCCCAAGTCTTAAAAGAAAGATAGGTGGATTTTGAGAGATAAATAAGATATAAGAAAAAAGAAAACATCAATAGCAAAAGTGCAAAGAGAAAAATGAATTTAAAAAACTGCAAGTTGACCTCTGTGACCACTGTAGCTCGAATGCTTCATGCAGAGTTTATTTAGCAAGGCAGGTATAGACGCAATAGAAACAGAAGTTAGCTTTTGCTTGGGAAGGGGCCTGTGCTAGAGATTGCTGATTATTTCCAATTTCTACTCTTTTATTCCTGATAATAATAGAATTTTTTCAGTTACAACTGACTGCACGTAGACGCCCTTGCAGTTAGGTAGAGACATGTGACTACACTCAGCCCAATGAATTATATCTGCCGTTGGTGAGGAAAATACCTACCAAAAAGGATTTTGTTGTTGTTGTTGTTGTGTTGTTTGTTTGTTTGGTTTGGTTTTGTCCTTTCTCTTCCCTTTCTGTAGTGGCAGGAAATAATGGACATTGGGTCTGCCGCCTTGGACTCTAAGCTAGAATTAGCATCAAGAACAGCAAGGACATCCTGTTAGTCCTGAATCTTGGAGCTATTATGTCAGAAAGCAATAGACTCCAGTCTTATTTTAGTTTCTGTTTAGGGGTTCCATTTTTACACCAAGTGATGTTTTTATTAATGAAGAGCTTTTGAAGACATTGGAGAAAATTGTGAATGAAAAACTCAAGATTGCTATGACAATGATAAATAATACCTATCAAGGGAAGGCTATTATGAAACATATTTCAAACCCTAACTAACATTGGTATCTTTTAGAGAATGAATGGGCTTTGGAACAGTAATACTGCCTTTCAGTGTTCGCCCTCAGTAACAGGGCAGTCATGTTTTTTATATGATATACTGGCACAAAAGACCTCTTTTATATTTCTACAGAGCAAGTTAGCTCTTCCTCTAAGCATTTTTAGTTAAAACATTGCGAATGTCCACATGATCCCTCGAGGAGAAAGACCAGAGTCTTCTAATATATTGCCTATTTGCCCAGGTAAATTGTTTCATTAGGAGTGTTTACTTAGAAAATGTCAGAAAAAATAGATACAAAGTAATTCAATTTTTCTCGGCACTCTGGTTGATGAGGCCTTCTTCCTGGGCAAGGAGGCCGTGTGAAGAGTGGTCTCAGAAGTTCTGGGTCAATGGCTAGCACTTGAAATGGGCAAGGTGTAATATGAACATCATCTCATCTACTGCTCCCTGCAACCTTAAAAGAAAGTACTCTTTACTACCCATTTTACAAATAAGGACACTCTTTTAGCAAGTTTTGGGGACTTTCTCAAGGTCACTGTGAATGGTAGAGTTGGTGATCAAACCCAGTGAGACTGACTTTACAGCTTTTTGTTAACCTACTCTCTGTACTACTTCAACATTTCCTGGCTCACGTGAGGAGATGAGGACAACCTATCGTCACCTCTCGGTGCGGCAAGGATTCGGGCTCACACGCACCGGGCGTTCATTCCTCGTCTGGAAGCAGCTGCCTGAGCGTGCAGAGCAGCCGTGGAATTGCAGTCAGAGAGCTACTGTTCCTGACTGTAGAAAGGCGCTAATGAGAAGAAAATACATGTGTAGTACAATCAAAGCTTGATAGATGTTTGCAAGATAAAACTATGTGCAGTTTCTAAAAACACCTGAGCATAACCTCTTATTTCATTAGTCAGTTATAAATCAAGTTACTGTTTCTTCATAAAAAGCTTGCAAATCCAGGTTTAGGATCATTTTCCTTTCCTTTGAAATTTCCTCTTCTAAAATGTCTAAGTAGATATTCCACACCCCTCTTCTGAATATATTATACTACTTTTCTCGCATTTAGAGATCATTTGAATTTTATATATAAAGAAAACCTGGAATGACCCGAGCCCAGGAACACGAGCAGCCCGCCATCCCTTGTGATTTAATCAGTGAGTCTGGCTGTGAATTTTTGCAGTGAGTAGGCTCTGTAATGAGCTGCTTCTTTTCCCAGTTATCATAATAGAAAGGGCACGAACCAGAAACGGGTTCCAGGGGGAGTGCCTCGTGACTGTCAGATAAGAGGAGGAGTCGCTCTGCGAAGGCGCCTGTGACTCAGCTCTGTGAAATTCACCAGCGTGCTTCTCCGAGATAAAGACGAGCTGGGAGAGTGAGAAATCTGCTCCGCTCTCTGAGTGGAGAAGAAGGATTCTGAGTACTGAATGCTCTCCTAAAACTCAAGGGATGCTGATTGTTGATCTAGATAAGAAGGAGGTGAAGTCCTTGGTTTTTTATGGTACCAAGATTAGCACAATTTATGTTCCTGTAGATTTCTAAGAGATAACAAGCTTCTTTGCCCAGTGTGATTCTAAGTCGTTTGAGCTATAGGAATTTGGCTGTGTTTTCTTCATGAGACTAACCATGTGCCATAACGTGCCTCATGATGTAGTTGCTTTATACATGTCCATAATTTTATGTTCCTTATTGAATTCAGTTTCTCAAAGTTCCCAGTGTCATATTTATATTTGTTTACTCCTGAGATCAGTGTTTTGCACATATATGGAAATAGACTTGTTGAATACTAAGGGGGAATGAGTCCTCTCTTTCTTTTAGGTATTCTGAAGAATTTTCCTCTAGTTATCCAGTGCTATTCTTTTGCTCCCTGGCCATAGACTACTTATTAAATGAATGAAATTGATAATTAGATAAAAGCAATACTATCTATGTTTCAACTTAAAGTTTCCATGAGTCATAAACTATTAAATCAAAGTTAAATGAATAAACTTAACATAATGTGGACTATATATTATATTTTAAAATGTCATATTTGAATATCTATGATATGAGCTTCAGAGTATAAGTTCTTGAATGTACTTCTCAATATTTTAGATTCTAAACACATGAACTCTATTTGTACATAAGAAAACTTTTTATGTCTTGGTTTATGTTTCACAATATAAGAAGGTACTAGTTGCTACCTAGACTTATTTATATATTATTCCGGGAAATATATAAAATGTAGACCTAGCTTAAATGCAAGTTATGGTGGTAAGAATTATTTTAATATTAGTTAGTAGATTGTATAAATATTTAAATGGTAACTCTTATTGCATTATAAAATATAATGTATTTACCTACCACTTAACAAGCATTTTTTAAATGCCCAACATGGAGGAGGGGCACTGACTCTGGAAACACAGACATGAAAGAGATGATCTATATTGTCTCAAAGAATCACAGAAAGATGAACAACATCCACTGTTTATATATTTTTGTCACATATTCTTATGTTATGTAATGAATCATCCTCTAGTAATTTATACTCTAACTTATTGATTAAAAGAATATTCTTTCCCCTATTACAGTGATACCTCGGTTCTCGAACATAATTCATTCCAGGAGGACAGTCGAGAACCGAATTGTTCGAGAACCGAAGCAATGAAACCAATAGGAAAGCGTGACTCCACAAAGCGTGACTCTCTCTCTGCACTCACACTGATGACGCAAGCAAGGCGCGCTGGGCCGAATGAACGCCATTCGGCTCATCTCGGAAGTTCGAGTTCCAAATATTTGTTCGGATTCCGAGACAAAAGTTTCTCGAATCTCCATTTGGTCGAAAACCGAGGCGTTCGAGAACCGAGGTATCACTGTATTATAATTTACCATCTAAATAATTGTGACATAAATGTGTATATGTTATTCTAAGGCTTACATAGATAGCATCATCTGTCTAAATCTTTTATTTCTAAGCCTGTGTCTAGTGAGTGAAATGCTTTAGGAACAAAATACTGCTTTTACTTGAGGAGGCCTTTATTTTATTTTTTTGGTGGTACGTGCCCCTAACAGGAACCGAACCCAGGTCTCTCTGGTCCGCAGGCCAACGCTCAACCACTGAGCCAAACTGGCTAGGGCTTGCGGGGGGGTGGGGCTCACAGATCAAAAATATAAGGCAAAAGAGTTCACAGAGAAATGCTAATTAGTGCCAACTCACTCTTACTGCCTCCTGTTCAAAGCTATTTTAAACAGCTCTCAAGTAAACCTGTGAACACGCCCACTTACAAGTAATGGAGGTGGAGGCTTTCTGCTGTTCCCAAAGCCTGCATCAGGCCTGATATACTTGCAGGGGTAGCAAGTGAGCCTTTTACTAGGCAGGTGGGAGTTTGTTATAGTCTGTGATAGTGTGGCAGGCTGCTCTGAAACAACTCCCAATGATCCCTGCCTCCTGGTATTTACAGCCTTGTGAAATCCCCTCCTTTAGTAACTTGCTTCTGAAGAACAGAATACAGAAAAAGTGATGTCACATCCAAGATTAGGTTGTAAAAATATCCATGCGCGCTCTCTCTCTCTCTCTCTCTCTCTCTCTCTCTCTCTCTTGTTTCCTCACTGGCACATTCTGATGAATCCAGCTATCGTATGTGAGCTGCCCTCTGGAGAGGCCTGAACGGGGCATCGTCAAGCCAACAGTCCGGGCACCATCGTGCAGGGAGCTGAATTTTGCCAACAGTAATGTGCATGAGCTGGGAGCGGATTCTGTCCCAGTTGAACCCTGAGATGAGTGTGGCCTTGGATAACACAGTAACTGCAGCCTGTGAGAGACCCTGAGTCACAGGAACCAGCAAAACAGTACCAGAAACCTGACCCAGGGAAATGGTGAGATAATGACAATGGTTATTTTTTAACTACCACATTTCGGGTGATTTCTTACATATAAAAGATAACTAATACAAAGTTGTATCTCCTAAGGTTGAAAGTAGTGATTTTAGCTATGAAGTAAGGTGATGTAAGGACAGACGTGGGGAAGACAAAGAAAACAGGATGGCTGAGTTAAGGGAAGGCAGATTAGACTCATGGTCATAGGCATCTCTTTTCCTCAACCAAGATATTGAGAATCAAGTGAAATAAATGAAGATAATCAAAGGGACTAGAGCTTTATAACAGTTCAATCAGAAAAAAAACAACCCAGAGACATAGATAATCAGTGGGAAATCCTTTTAGTTATGGTAGCAACACAATATTTATGAACATGATCAGTTCCAATGCCTATTATAATTAATTTTAAGATATTCAAAGACTTCAATATATAAACATAACACACAGATACATACACATATACAGGCATTCTTCAGAGATATTGCCGTTTTGCTTCTAGATTGCAGCAGTGAAGGAAGTTGTAATCTTTTTGATGGAGGAGGATCTTGTCTTCAATTTGTAAATAACCCAACACCTGGGAAGCATAATGAAGTGACGCTCAATAAAACAAGGCATGCCTGTTTCATCTTGGTTACTTGCTATGTAGGTGAACTTTGGAAAATTACTTGACCACTTCTGTTTCTGTATATCTAAAAGAAAGATTGTATTACCTATATCCTCTAGGACTGTAGAAATGAGACAATGTATGCACATCACCCACTGCAGTACCTGGATCCTACCTGTATTTTATGATTCAATTTTCCTCTTTCATCATATACAGTGTGTGAGTCTCATTCAATGATTATGGCCTCTCAGTACCTAACTGAAATATCGAATGTCCAAGTGCTCACAGGAGTCTGAGAGGCCGTGAGGGATGCTGGTCTGTCTGAGCTTTGAGGCTTCACCATAACGAGTTCTGTGGAGAAAGAGTTTCTAATCACAGTCAGAAGATTCCTAATTTGCTTCCAAGTGTGGAATTCAGAGTTCACAGTCCAGAAATGACATCCATTTTAACACCCACTCTTCAACACATATATAGATGTAAGTCTGTGACATCCTGTCTTAGTTGAATTCTGCTTTGTTGAGGCTGTCTGAAACAGGATTTTTATTTTCCAAATAACCACAGAGGCTCTTTTTCTCCCTCTCTTTCCTCCTTTCCTCCTTTCTTTCCTCCTTTCTTTCTTTCTTTTCTTTCTTTCTTTCTTTCTTTCTTTCTTTCTTTCTTTCTTTCTTTCTTTCTTTCTCTCTTTCTCTCTTTCTTTCTTTCTCAAATATCAGTTGGTAAAACTTCTGTATTATTTTCCACATTGATTTTTTCCCCTCTCATCTGGCATTATATTTGACCTAGATTAATCCTTCAAAATTTATCACATGGTGTTTTGAAGCAGCTACTGCTGGAAATTCAAGGGAGGAAGGGAGGACACAGCTATTAGCAAATAAAAAATACTTCTTCCTGGACAATGGCAATACTGGGATTGATCATTATTCTGTACCCACAATATGTCACAGTTGGAAAGTAATGGAAACCAACTCTGTGTTCAGCAGAAAGGGAATTCATTAGAACAACATGAAGGCACTCAGGCTTGAAAGAAAGGAACTATTCACCTAGAGAAGGTCCCCATAGCAAGAGCCACTGAATAGTCTTACTCGGGCACTAGTGCTGGAATGAGTAATAACCGGATAGATTTATTATTGTTGTTGCTTTCATTTGTGACATTTTATTCAAATTTCAAAATCTTGAGAGAGAATTTGATTGGGAGAGCATGGGTCATGGGCACTCCGCTGTTTATGTTGATAAAGTGAAACAAAAAGTCATGAAAGAAAAAAACTCCTGGTACCCCTTAAGCTTCTGAAGGGGAAGGCAGAGTGTCCTACCCTAACCCATTTTCCTTCCAAGGCTACCCATGCTGTGGAACACATAATTTCCCAAGAAAATTTCAGGGTGCAGTGGGAAGTAGAAATAAATGCTGGATGGCTTAAAATGACAAACAAAGCCACATGTCTCCCTCCCACCCTCCCTCCCTCCTCTATCTCTCTCTCTTTCTCTCTCTCTTTCTCTTTCTTTCTTTCTCTCTCTCTCTCTCTCTCTCTTTCTTTCTTTCTTTCTTTCTTTCTTTCTTTCTTTCTTTTCTTTCTTTTCTTTCTTTTCTTCCTCCCCTGAGAATATGTTTATTGATTTTAGAAAGAGAGAACAGGGGAAGGAGAGAAACACCAGTGTGAGGGAGAAACATCCATTGGTTGCCTCTTATATGCGCCCCAACAGGGTATCAAACACAACCTAGACATATACCCTAAACGAGAATAAAACCCACAACTTTTTGGTGTACGGGACGGTGCTCCAACCAACTGAGCCACTTGGCCAGAGCACATGTATTACTTAAACAGTCATTTCACAGAAATAAACCCACTTGAACTATATGTAAGATCTAGCCTGTGGAACTGCTGTAACCCTCAGGTCAGGTGAAAACAGTAAATCATGGTGGCTTAGAACTCAGCTCTAGAGAGAGACTGAAGGTATTCAAATCCCAGTTCTGTAGATTAGTAACGCTAAAAAAAAAAAACCTGGCAAATTTTCTATTATCTGTGAAAGGAAACACTAACAGTATCTACCTCAGAGGGGTGTCATAATGATTACTTGTGCTGTTACATGCACAGCAGTTAGTAAATCCTCCATTAGTGTTTCTAGTAAAGTGAAGGGTGCAGGGCTAAACATCTGGTGTCATGAAATCCAGATGACGCTCAGTTAGGCTGGTTGCTATCAACTAGGTTTCTATTCAGTGGGCTAAATACAAGTAAGCAAACTGCAGAGATCAAAGCAGTAACCAACTCAGGTACCATGGATGATGGAGGCCTGGGCCAGCTGTGAGGATGACACCAGGTGAGCAGGCGCATGAGAACCAGGACATGAAGTAAAGGACAAGGCAAAACACTGGACCAGTAGATGTTGTAAATAGAAAGCAAGAGGGTCACAGAAGCACCAAGGGAGGCAGAGCAGATAAAAGATTGGATTCAGCACCAAGGAAACTTATTCTGAGTAATTTTCCTATCTCTGTCAAAAACGTCTCATAATTTCACTTTCAGTCCTAACTCAATCTAGGTTTTAGGGGAGAGATAGCAGGCCAAGCCACTTGCAGAAAAGGTGGCATCTCTAGAAATGGAGATTGTGGGGAGTAGACTAGAGGCAGTGAATGACATAGCATGTGGTATAGATACCTATCAATAAAAAATAGCAATGATGCCACTACCACTAATAAATAATAATAATAATGGTAGATGACATTTACTTGCATTTGCTATGTGCTTGGCACTGTGCTAAGTGTTTTATATCCATATATCACTTAATTTTCCCAACACATCTTTGAGTTAATTACTAGAAAATAAAATCCTGAAGGGCACAGTATTTGTCTGCCTTCTTCACTATTCTATCTACACCACTTAGAATAGAACCTAGTACATAGAGGTATTTCCAAAGTGTTGGATGGTCTCCAATGGAAGAATAAAAAGGAAGTTTTAATAGTCTAAATAACTTTTTCAAGTCAAATAATGGTAAATTGTGGAGTTGAGGTTTAAAATCAGGGAGCTTGTCTCTAGAGCCCATGATTACTCTACAGTTTCTACCCAACACTACCCTATTTCCAAAGATCACCCACACTTTTTTATTTGCTACCTCTCAGTGCTTTAATTCCTGATGCCATCAGATGAAATAGATTGTTACAAAATGGAAAAACAGGATAATGAACACAAAGTACGAGGCACCCCAAATCAAAGTTCTTGGTACTATGCAAACATGGGCACTTTCAACCAACTATGTCTGAGGCATTATACTAACTGGATAATAACAGATAACAAAACAGGTCTCTGAACGTAAAGAATCCATGTTCTAGGGGGACAGACAGGCATACAAACAAACAAATAAATAATCCAGTAAGTGCAGAAATAGAGGTGTTGGGTGCTCTTCAGAGCCCCGCTGGTCCCAGTGCAATACAATTCACTGTGTCTGGGGCACAGCAGGCACGTGCAGGAGTAAGAGGAGTGAGAAAGGAAAGGTGGGTGATAAGACACAAGAAGGGACTCAAACATGATGCCAACGAGATTGTACTTTATTTTGTCAAAAGTAGAAAGACAGCAGGATTAATTAATAACTGCTTGTTCAATTGAAGTGAAGAAAGATGGGCAACAGGAGGCCTAAGCAATGATGTAAGACCAAAATGACGAGGGCCTGAGATGAGGCGGTAGCAGTGGATCCATGCGCAGTCAACAGGATTCAGTGGCTGACTGAATTTCAGCATGAAGTACGTGGAGAGGGTAACAGTATCAATACCAAAAAACAGAAATGAATAGGAAAAACAGATTTGTCCAGGGTAGGGAGAAAAACCTTTATGCAGATTTAGCGGTGCAAAATTACTTATTTGTGTTGTAAAACATTACATAGGGCAGTAATTCTATTATTTCAGCATTTTGTTTTTTCAGTTATTTTCTAAGAATGTAGCTTCCAGTGCTATGAGTAAGTGATTTTATTGTACTTTACTCAGAGATGATTTAATATAAAATCTTCTTTCTCTGGCTGCTGTTTTAATTTTCTGTAACTAATTGTAGCTCTATTGATACTCTATGAGACACACTTTGGGTCACAGTACTTAACATTGAAGGTAGTGGCTAGTTCTCATTTTGATTAAGTCTTTAAGAAGATAATTATCTCATTTGGAGCATCATTTGTGAAATCTTTTTTATAACTATTTAACTTGAGAAACTATAGCCCTAGGATAGAAGAAAACGTATCTAAATACAGTGTCAATCAGAAAAAGAGCAAGAAATCTAAATATTTGGAGAACATAACGGTCAGAAAATTGAATCTTCAGTTTGTTAGAATGAAGAGAATTTGTTAGAATATTGAAAAGTACCAACAGGCAACTGACTCCACACTGTTAGTTGATTGGCCTTATTAAGATATTTCAACTTAAGAGGTCTCTTACTTGACCTCGTTGCTCAACCAAGATGTTATTTTTTCCAACCTTTTGAGGATAATTGGTATACAAAAATTGCATATAATTGACATATATAATTTAGACAAATGTACGCACTTTTGTTACTATCACCACAATTCAGCTAATAAACATATCCATTACCTCCAAAAGTTTTCTCGTGTCCTTTTTATTCCCCCCCCCCCACACACACACACACTTTTTTTTAAAGTATAAGGACCGTTCATGAGATCTACCCTCTTAGCAAAATTTTAAGAACACAGTACCTTAGTTAACTCTAGACACTACCTGGTCCAGCGGACACTGGCACTTGCTCACCTTGTGTAATGAGCTGAACACCATTGAGCAACTCCCCAGACCGCCTTCCCGTCACCCTCTGGTGACTGTCACTCTATTGTGCATGTCTATATTTTTACCTATTTTATATTCTTTAAAGTTTAAGTATTTCTAGCCCCACAGTTAGATACTGTAAAATTGAGAAAAATAAAGTATTTGACAGTATTTTCTTTTAAAAAATATATGGAAAAATATCACATAAATACACACACACAAAATGGAAGTCTCAGGTTGCATAGGATGTGCATAAGTGAATAGATTTGTAATTACTTGCTTTTTTGTCTCTATATCTGAGAAATGGGCAAATATATATTTTGATCTTTAAGTGCATCTTTTGTTTGAGGTGTAGAGAGGAAGGCTTTGATAAAACCACCACAGAAGTTTTGTTGTTGTGGATACACAAAGCTTTTAATTTCTTTGCTTTTTTATTGCTATTAAACAGATCTATTTCTGACTTTCATATTTGTTTCTTTTGTTGTTGTTGTAATCTTCACCCGAGGGTATTTTTTTCATTGATTTTTTTTTTTTTTTTTAGAGAGAATGGGAGGGAGGGAGGGAGAGAAGGGAGAGACAGACAGAGCGAGAGAGTGAAAGAGAGACATAAATGTGAGAAAGACCCATGGATTGGTTGCCTCCCACATGTGACCCGTCCTGCAGGTCGAGCAACAAGGACTCTAGAGGGGGAGTGAGGATGAGGAGGGACAAGACACACGAGAAATGGAGACAAGACAGGGCTCTGATCAAGTCTCGTTTATTCTGGGGAGATCCACAGTATATATAGGGCAAGAAGCAGAAAAACAAGAACATTTGTTGCCAAGTGATAAGTTTGTGGTAACCACCCTGAAGCAATTTCAAGTAAATATCACATAAATATCCCGGGTGGAACAAAAGATAAACGAGCATAACTGGCTGAGTAAATGGTTACTTAAAGGAATGCAGAAACATTATATACAGAGGTATCCTGCCTTGGGGCAGGAGATGGCAGAGCAGATTTTAGCAAAATGGATGCCATGCAAACAGTCTCCCACACACATGCACCCTGACCGGGGCTGGACATGAACCTGCAACCCAGGTATGTGCCCTTGACCAGGAATCTAACCATGACCCTTCAGTGTGCAGGCCAATGCTCTAACCACTGAGGCACCAGCCAGGGCACAACTTTTATATTCTTGAAGGGTTAAGTAAGAGAGATATCTTGGAGAAGTTACACACATTAATTGTTTGATTCTCATATGTTATAGCTGGTTCCAGTTTGTGTAGTCTGAAATTATCAATTTTACCTCAAATATATTAATTAAATGTGAAAAAAATAATTACACAAATTTAGGGTATTGAATAAACTATAATATTTTCCTGTTCATCAAGTAGCATCTTAGTGATTAATGAAGAGAAATTGATTTACAGATTTTAAAAACAGCATTAAATTTAAATATCTAATCCGAGGAACTACAAAAAGTGGATTATGACACATCAGGAGATATTAAAACTTGAAAACCTAATAGTCTATGATAATGACCAGCGCTTGCCCCTCCTTCATGTGCCCTTGTCTGTGTTTTTTCTGGTACTCCTACCAGAACTGGGTGCACATATGTTATTCTATGTATTTGTCTTGTTCATGATTTTAATTTTTTTGAAATATGTTTTTATTGATTTTTTAGGGAAAGAAGAAAGGACAGAGAGATAAAACCATTGATGATGAGGGAAACATTGATTGGCTGCCTCCTGCACACCCCCTACTGGGGATTGATCCTGCAACCTGGGTTTGTGCCCTGACCAGAATCATACGGGACTTCTCCGTCCATGGAATGATGCTCAATTCACTGAGCCAAACTGGTTGAGCAGTTGTTATTCATGATATTAGTGTAAGTGGCACTTTCTCACAAATTATTTGGTCTTTGATTTATTAAATTTTGTCTTACAGATGATAAATTATGGCCATTAAATTAAGGAAGTTGGTGCAGTCACGAAGGAGAGTCAGAATGAAAGAAATGTCATTATTAAGAAATTTTCTTTTCCTCTTTGGACCCTTTGAATTATTGATTAATAAGCCCCTTGATGTTTTCTGTACACAATAGGGAAAGTAGGACTTCTGGATACGAAAATACAATCTGCTAATTCTTATATCAGAATATCTGTTCTCCCAAATTCTGTTCCCATTGCAAATCTGTTTGATTGCCTACTGCCCTCTTAAAGTAATGTATAAAGGTTTTAGTGTAATCTTTATCATGATTACTATCATTTATAAACATTAAAGACCCTCACTTATATCCTAAGAAACCTGAAACACCAATCAGAAAGAATATATGTACCCCTTAGCAAAGCAGCACTATTTACAATAGCTAAGATCTGGAAACAATCGAAGTGTCCATCAGTAGATGAGTGGATAAAAAAGCTGTGGTACATGTACACAGTGGAATACTATGCAGCTGTAAGAAAGAAAGATCTCTTATCCTTTGAGAAGGACCTAGAGAGTGTTATGCTAAGCAAAACAAGCCAAGCAGAGAATGACAAATAGCACATGATCTCACTTATTTGTGGAATATAATGAACTAAACAAACTGCTGAACAAAATTAACCCAGAGGCATGGACATGGAGCACAGACTGACAAGCCTCAGAAGCAGAGGGGGGGTGGGTTGGGGGGGAGGAGCTAAAACACAGAACTTACATGCATGTATGCATAACCAATGAACATAGACAACAAAGTTGGGGATGGAGTGGTGGGGAAGGGGAGGAAGGTGTTAATGGGGGGGAAAATGAGAAACATCTGTAACAAAAACAAATTAATAAATAAATTTTTTTTTTTAAAGTCAGACCTAGAAAAAAAAAAAAAAGACCCTCCCTTAGAAAAGCTGTTTGGAAAATGAACAAGAGAGGCAGAGGCCTGTCTCTGAAAGGAGTCCCTCATGATTTTCGAAACAAATATTGTTTTTATGGAAAATGTTATAACTACTAAATATAAATTGACCATTTGTATGTCTGACTTCTGATTGAAATTCAACACAGCCCATCTTAAATTTAATTTGCGTTTCTAAATTAGAAACATGTAAACTAATATTAGCAGACTGATAAACTCTATAGATTGTCGCTTAAATGGCAATACAAATTAGCTCTAATTCTACTTGCTAAAAAGTATGATCTTATAAAATATAAAAATTCCTCAAAAATAAAAATTTTTATGAATGATTGCCTGAAGAAACTGTAATCTCTGTGTTTTGCTAGGTACCCTAAAATATGCCCCTATGTTAATAAAGCAGCAAGTCACATGTTGAAGTTGACTCATTAACCACTCTGTCGAAGTGCAGTTACTGAATTTGTTTTGGCATCATGCCTTCCACTTGTGTTGATGTCCTGTAGGAGGATTTATTTTATGAAGCATCACTATAAAACTTGTTTTTAAATTTACACTAAGGATATTATCGAGTACACATTTTATTACACTAGATCCTCCTTGTGAAAACTGTCAGAGGATATTAATTTTTAGTGTTGGGAATTCTGAGCATTTCCTGAATAATTGATTTACCTTATGGATCCTATGAATTTGTAACTCAGCAAATCTCAAACTAAGAATAGTACTCATCAAGGAAGACTTTCAAAATACAGACTCTCAAGCCTTTTCCCAGATCTGCTGAGTCAGTTTATAGAAGCGTAGGTCCCAAGTATTTGTGTTTTTCCTAAAGCTCCCCAGTTGATTGTCTGTGATCAGACATGGAAAATCACTGGAGTAACAGATCAAATTTTCCATTTCTCACTGCCAGTTAGAAAAGTTAAGATGCAAAATTGTAGTCTACACTTTATGAGTTCATATGATTTCATATTAAGTGTGTATTTCTTAATTTACCTATGTATCTTGCCTTAATTTCTCCTCGCTTTTATTTTAGCATTATTTTCTACTTTATACTCTCAGATGTTTGACAAATTGTTGCTTACTACTTTGTAATCCCTTTTTCATAATTGGGTAAAATTATATCCCTTAATATGCAGTGATTTAAGCATCCTTTTTAAGAAACATTGCTAAATTATACATGGTATAATAAACATACAAATCAAGTAAAATTCATAACTCCAGAAAGCTGCCTAATGTACCTTTCTAGTCATTTCTCCCCCATCTACCCTCTAATTATAGCAGTGAATGATCTGAGTCACTATTATTCATTGAACCTGTTCTAGAACTCCAATAAGTGGAATCATATGGCATGTACTCTTTTGTATCTGGTATCTTTCACTGAAGAAAAAAAAATTTAAGATTCCTCCATGTGGCTATAATTATCAGTTCACTCTTTTTATAGACATATCGTAATTCATTTTCAAAGGTATACCAAAATTTACTTATTAATTTGTGTGTTGATGGACATTGAATTCTTTCCAGTTTGGGCTACTATGAATGAACACTCTTGTACAAGTCTTTTGTGGACATGTTTTTGTTTCTCTTGGGGGAAATCCTAAGAGTGATATTGTTGAGTCACAGAGTAGCTCTATGTTTAATATTTTAGAAACTGCTTTTTCAAAATATTAGTATTATTTTACACTCTCATCAGAAAAGTATAAAATGTCAAACTGTTTAATAGCCTTGCAAGCAATTGAAAGTTGTCAGTCTTTTAAATATGTTATATATATAATGGAATCAAGTTGTAGTTTGAATTTGCATTTCTCTCATAGTTAAGGATGCTGAGAACATTTTCATGCATTTGGTCATTTGTATGTAGTCCTCAATAAAGTGTCTTTTTAATTTTTTGTCTTTTTTAATAGCTTGTTTGACTTTATATTATTTAGTTACTGGAGTTTATTCTTTAATATATTATGAATATATATTTTCTTTAATATAATCTGGATACAAGTCTATTTTTTAAAAAATGTGTGTTGCACAGATAATTTTTTCCAGTCTATGGCTTGACTTTTCATTTTTCAATCTTGTCATTTTAAAAGCAGAGTTATTAATGTTGATGAAATCTAATTTATCATTTTCTCTTTTTTTCTTAGTCTTTTTGTGTCCTGAAAAAGAAATCTTTGTCTACTCTGTGTTTGCAAAGATATCTTCCTATATTTTGTTGCAGAAGCTTTCTGGTTTTAAGTTTTATTAGGTCTATGATCCACTACGAATTAATTTTTGCATAGGTGTGATATAGGAGTTCCTTTTCATTTTGATCTTTGCAAATATCAAATTGTTCCAACACCATGTTGATAAGATAATCTCTTCTTCACTAAATTACCTTGGTGCTTTTGTTGAATAACAATTGAAAATATATATATATTTGGGTCTAGTCATGGTCTACCTCTTTTCTGTTACATTGATTTATTTATATAGCTTAATGACAATTACACACTATCCTGGTAACTGTAGCTCTATTGTAAGGATTAAAATTAGGGAAAATAAGTAAAATCTGGCAGATGTGTGTAATTATGTTTCCAACATTATTTTTGCTAAGCTCTTAGCATTTCCATATAAATTCTAAAATTAGCCAGTCATATTCTTCATATAAACTGCTGAGATAATGACTGATATTTTGTTGAAACTATAGGCCAAACTGGGGAGATCTGATATCTTGATGCTAGTGATCCTTTAAATTCATAAATGTCATATTTCTCCATTCATTTGGTTCAAATCTTTATTTATTGAGTTGGTCATAGGGAATTTCTTCTATCAGTTGTTATATGATAAATTATCATTATTCATTTTTAAATGTTGAACTAAATTTGCATTCTTTTCTTTTTTTATTGAGGTATAATTGGCATATAACATTGTATTAGTTTCAGTTGTACAACACTTGATATATGTATATATTGTGAAATAATACCCACACTAAATATGCCTTCTTGAGGTAAACTCCACTTCCTGGTGATATATTGTTGTTAGGTATATTCTGGATTTACTTTGTTAATTTGTTATTGATTTTTCAATATGTTCATGAATGATATTTGTAATTTGATTTTTTACTGTTCATATCAGGTCTTTCTATGAGGTTTACACTCTGTTTTAGTTCCCTTTCCACTACCTTTTCAGTACTCAAGAGAGATAAACCTGATCATCTCGCCCGGCTGGTGTGGCTCAGTGGATTGATCATTATCCCATGCCCCAAGAGGTCATTGGTTCGATTCCCTGTCAGGGCACATGCCCAGGTTTTGGGCTCGATTTCCAGTCAGAAGTGTGTAGGAGGCAGCCAATGGGTGATGTTTCTCTCTCATCCATGTTTCTATCTCTCTCTACCTCTCCCTTCCTCTCTCTCTAAAACATATATATTTTTAATTTATAAAGCTGATCATCTCACTGTCCTATCTTGGAAGGTTGTATCAGTTTCTAACCTGATGTAAAAAACAAACAAATAAACAAAGAACCAAACTTGAACTTGGTGGCTTCAGATAGCAGAAATTTATTCTGTCACAGTTCTCCAGACCAGAAGTCTAAATCAAGGTATTAGCAGGACTGTAGTCCCTGCAAATCCTCTTGGGGAGAATCCCTCTTTGCCTCTCCAGCTTCTGGTAGATCTAGATGTCTCTTGACTTTTTGCTACATAACTCCAATCTCTGTCTCCATCTTCACATGGCCTTCAATTCTGTGGCTTCTCTCTTATACAGAATTGAATTTAGGTCTCACCCAAATAATCAAATGGGATCTCATCCCAAGATCCTTAATATAATTACATCTGAAGAAACCATTTTTCAAATAAGGTCACAGTCAGAGTTTCTGGGTGCTAGGGTACAGTGATATCAT